TTTTTCTCGACTTTTAAATTAAATTTTATGGTTTTTGAAATTTTAAAATTTTGTATTTTCCAATTTATAAATCAAACTCCAATCAAAAAGAGAAAATTTTGAAAGACGCTTTCGTGAGGCTAGTGTGGAATTCGTTCCCGAACCACTTTTACATCCAGAGTTTTGTTCCAAATTGCTTGCTTCAAGCGAAAATACACGTCAGGTACCGTGTGAAGAAGTCTCTTAGCTAAAAAGTTCGCAAAATTTTCCACTCACAAACAGTAAACGACATTATCGTTGATCGTTCTGTAAAAACAGAAAGGGTATCAATGTTTTTGATCACCAAATTTATTAGCAGTGAAATGATCACCAAATCAATTAAAGAAATGTAAATTGAAGAAAATATATAAAAGAATATATAACAATTCAATAGAAAATTAATTAGTGGACAGTATATAGAAGAAGAATATATATACAACAAGAAATATGCACAGAGCAGAAAAAACAGATCACCAAACCAATTAGCGAAAATTTAAATTAAAGAAAAATAACGGGTGGGCCAGATAAAATCGGCCACTTTTGTTCTTGCTTTTTGATCCCCTTTCCCGTGGTTCCGATTACTCATTTTATGCTCAATCGATAGAGAATTTTCTGCTCTTTCAAACCATATGTTTTATTTAAAAAATATATTCACATCTTTTCTGCAACATTCGATAAACTCGATTAGTCCAACAGTCCACACTGCGACGCACGACTTCTGTTCGGATCTTTTTCACACCGGGCACGGATTTGATAAATTAAGGTCTTTTTATTCGTTATTTGGCCCCAGTTCATCTGCTCACACAGTTCGTGCCAAATGGAATAGTCGAGAGGGTTGAGATCGGGCGAATTTGGTGACCATCTCGATTTTGGCCAAAAATCCCAAAATGATCCTTGCACCATGTTTGCGTGTGATGATCTTTGTGCGCTGGTGCCCCGTCTTGTTGAAATGTAAACTCATTTCCCATCAACTTCTGACCATCTTCTAGTGCGACTGGCAGTATTTCATCAATATACTTTTGATGATTTTTCGTACCATTTTCAATGATAACTGGGCGTGTCACGCCGTCATAACATACGCCTAACCAAACCATCACACCTTGAGGAAATTTTGTTTTTCGGTGGATGCCACCATTTTCATCAGCTTGTTCACGATTCGGAGCATATATTCTATCATTTTGACGGTTATATACACCGTCAGTATCGAATCGTTTTTCATCCAAAAACAAGATTTTTCTTACCAATGATTTTCTGACATTCTTTCTTGCCCAAATTCCAAACGAAAATCTTTTTTTGTTTTTGTGTGTCCGTGAGCT